GCCTAAACAGGTCGGGCATGTTTAATACTCCCTCCGTCCCGTTTTATCTTTTCGGGATGTCCCCTTAAATTGTCTTATACCATATTTGGTAAAGTTTGTGTGGTTCTAAATCATTCTTACTTTATTCTTACTTTATCAATTGATATCAACCACACAAACCCACTTTTCTTAATAATCGTGTCACCCTCTTCCGTCCCAATATAAAAGGAAAGAAGGTAGTAATATATAGGCCTGAGCCTGTCCTGTTACCTATTAAAGGGCTGTTTTTCTGCCTAAGTGTGGCCTGTTTAAAAGTCTGGCCTGAAGCCTGTTTACTGGGCCTGTTAAGAAAAAAAATAAAAAGTTCACAAAAAATAAAAATGAAAAGTGAAAATTCATGTTAACCCGGTATAAAATTTATCCCACCAAATATTCACTAATAATCTAATAATATGTTAGTTTGCTTTGAATGTCTAATCATATGTTAGTTATGTAGTTTATAAATTTCAAAAACTTTGAATTTCAAATTTCAATGACCCTAATAATCTATTAACACACTTTATATATTTAAAATACATTGTGGTATTCTAATTTATAATACACACTCCATAAAAATATCAGTATGCCTAATTTTATATAGGTAAGTATACTAATATAAATATATTTATAAATATAAATAATACAAATAAATATAAATAAAACTAAATATATATACAAATATATACACACAGACACACATATAAATAGGCGGCCTGTTAAGCTAAAAAGGCTTCAGAGTTGGGCTAGGTCTGGCCTATTTAAATAAACGGGTTTTTTGAAAAGTCCAAACCTAGTTTAATTATTAAACAGGTGAGGCCTTAAATAGGCCAGACCACAGGCCGCCTGGCCCATTCCCACCCTTAACCCTTTGATTTACTTCTCTATCGCATGAAATCAAAAAAATTAATAAATTAATAAATCTATTAATTTAAACCCTTTGATTTAAACCCTTTAGTTAAATATACCCTCACTTATCATCAAATTCGCAAATAAATCTCATGCTTTCATTTTTTTTATTAAAAAAATCCAGACTTTATTTTTTCTCACAATTACGCTTTCAATTGATAAATTAGTAAAACTTAAGAAGGAAATCATATTTATATTTTATATTTGTTTCGCTTCTTTCTAGTTTTAAGTTTACAAACTTGTACTGCTTATATCGATAAAAAAAAGTGTAATTTTGAAAAGAAAAAAAAAAGCATATTTGATTTTTTTTTGGAAGAAGAAGACTTCAATTGATGTCACAACATTCAAATAGGGAGCATACATATAGAAAGACTACAACCAACCGCCAGCCTTCGAGTCAGACTTAGAGTCAATCACCTTCAAATAATCAATATGACTCGTTGATCCAATAATAAGCATAAACGAGCCAAAGACGATCAAAGCAGATCTCTCAATCCTAATGCAAAAGTTTTACAAAAAGAGAAATAAAATGCGAAATTAAAACAGTCTTACCAAGGAAAATAACGACAATAAAGATAGAATAATTAAACTTCTCCTTCGTCATCGGGAATATGAGAATCTTCCACGCTCCAGCCCAATGATGAGTCTGCTTTAATTAGAACTCCTGGCGGGTCTGGAGTTCGGGACCCTCCACCTCCCCATTTTTTGGCTTGTCTAGAGCCGTGTTATCACCGCTTGGATCTTCTTGTTCCTTATCCTCCCAAAGTGTCTTGCGCTTCTGGTCACCTGGCACCTCTTCGATACTCACTGAACCCCATTTCACAACCGTGCTCTTCCATGGATCAGTTGAGCAACAAGCCAGCTCTGTCTACATGCTCCCATTCCTCCACCTCTACTCTGGGAAGCATTCTACTGCTTAAGCCCCATACATGTTCAAGAGGGTCCTTCTACAATTAGCCACTTGTTTTTCCCCTTGTAGGACTAGTCTTTCCCCCTCCTCCTACTCTAAGTCCCTCATATGTCAAAGGGCAAGACATGTCTGCATGGCTAATGACCCCGCAGACAAAATAAAAGTTAGACAACTTTTCATATTTGAAATCCACCCAGTGACCCCCCCCCCCCTAAGAGTTGTTTCCTTTTTAGAGGTTTTCCAACTTTCATGCAAACCCTAATACGCATATAAGCATCCCAATTTTCTTTAAACTGACTTTCATCAAAACTAATGAACTTTCCAATAAAATTACTAATCCTCCTAGCAGTATCCATGTTCATAAAACCATAAGGGACGTTATACATCTGGACCCAGAAATAAGCCTCATTTAGGTTAACCTTGAGGGGAATACCTTTTGGCTTAATTTCCTTGAGAATCAACAAATACCTTTCAAACAACCATAGACCACTTTCTAGCACACGTCTCATATCCACAATATGGTGAGAAGTGAAGAGATACCTCTTTTTGTCGATCTCTTCGATTGAAACACCTTTGCCGGGATGCCAAAGAGAGACCATAAGATCTTTGAAAATCTGAAATTTTATCATCCGATCTGTGAGTAGGGTGCCTACCACCGGAAAAAACAACATGTCGCTCGTCCACCACATCCTCACCGACCTCATTATCATCGAAAACCAACTCCTCTCTATCCCCACCAATGGCAATTTTTTCATACTGATTCACGCTATCCTCCCTTGGAAAGCTTCCAGCCGCACCTACTTGCCACAATAGCCACACACCTGCTCGACTGAAGAAGCCATGGAAGCCCCTCGCTGTCCTTCGCAATACCGGACCGCATTTCGTCGAAGAGGAAAGCGGAGAAGTCACTAAACCTTATATTAAGGGGACGACCGCTTAAGAAAACCATAAATATTGAAAAAGATGAAGTTTGAGTCCTTTTTGCTAAAAGTTGAAGAATATGATAGATTTGTGAATTGGATGATAGTTTGAGATCAAATAAGATAATAATCCTAAGTTTTTACACAAAGGATATTATTATTAATACATCTTTAATTCCAATTTCCAACTTAAATTTTAAGACTACCTATGAATACTTCAATTTTAAACCTTTGAAGAGCTTACCTACTCCATGGATCCATTAATCATTCACGAAAAATGAACCAAATCAATAAACTACTACGATTTTCTCTTTTTTTACCATCAAAACAAAACGTTTATATTAATATCATTAGGAATCGGATCGTTACAACAAACTCAAAAAGACCAACACTGACAACAACTATCTCTAACCAACAAACACTATCAACCCTACGACTAGATTCAGAGACGATCACCCATGTAAGAGCAATACGAATCGCTAACCACCGAGCGGGTGTGACACAGCAATCACTGGCCAAATAGACCCTTCTAACGACATACAGAGTAATATCTAGCAGAATTGTCAATCATTATTGTATACCTCAAACTAAAAACATCATCAAAAAACAGAGCAACGTAAAACATAACGTGGACATAAAACCAATGCAAAAATTAAGTAACTCATAAATCTTCCAAAACCTAACACATCGATCGCTCCAAGGCGGCAGTTCAGGAGGGGGGGGGGGGACCGCCGATCTGTCTTCTCCTTTGCTCATCCCTTCATCTCTCCCCGTCTTCTCGTCGTCCGTTCCGCCTCCACTACCATCACCGCCCTCTAACCATGTTGATTAGCCAGAAACTAACCCTTCGACTTTCTCCTCAATTGCAGGATTGAGACAACACTGCTCTAGATCATCCATAGAAGAAATGATTATCATTTCTTGAACCTTAGATATTCGTTTCCAAAAGCTGCAGCCGCACTCATGCCTTCTTTAAGATTGACTTGCACAAGTCGAGAAAAGAGATTAGAAAACAAAGATGAAATCTTGTCGCTGCTTTGAGATCCAATGGATAATCTGAAAGTTGTCTAAATCCCAAAACCAGAACCAACGATCAAAAGCACTCTAGAAGCCTAGAGAAGAAGAGCCGCACAAACAATTGGCGGAAGAAAAATCCTAAGTGACGGCAAAGTCGCTAGGGACACAAAACCCTACGTGACGGCTAAGCCGCTAGGGAGGAGCAACTGATGCGGAAGCGAGAAACCCTTGCGCAGCTAACGCTGTAGCATGCATACGTCACTACAATTTTCTATCTATGTCATGTTGTTCCCACCTTTCTAGCTCATGGTTTTGTTTAAAGAAATTGTCAGGGTACAAACATTTGTGCATTTCAAAATATTAATACTGTGATTTAGACATGACAGCTTTTCAAACTTTACAATGATGGCTTCTATTATGGAACTAAAAACATAGTACTCTTATTTTGAATTTTCAACGCATTTTTACATATATTTTGGAAATTCTCTTGTTTACCTCTTATATTTTGTTATAAGTTTAATTCATTATTATTTCACACAAAAAAAACTGTCTCTTGATTATTGAATGAGGATTTGAATGATCAATAGAAAAACGTACATGTTTCTAGAGGTGGACTCGGGTCGGGCGGCCCGGCCCGATGGCCTGGTCCAACGGCGGTTCGGGTCGAACCGGCCCAGTGGATACCGGTTCCGGGCCCGGGCCCTGCATTTGGTGAACCGGCCCGGCCAGTTCGGGCCCGGTCCGGGCCGGAATTATTTATTTATTTATTTATTTATTTTGAATTTTTTTTGAGTTTTGGGTTGGATTAGGTATTTTGGGCCATTTGGGGTGGTTTGGGGTGGTTTGGGGTTGAGGGGGAGGGATAGGGGGTTAACCGGTTAAATAAGAGAAGCAAAAAAAAAAAAGTTATGACCCGGCCCGGAACCGGCCCGGTCCGGCCCGGAACCGGCCCTCCTTTTGGTGAACCGAGGCCCGGCCGGTTCAAGGCCCGAACCGGGCCTGGCCCGAACCGAGTCCACCCATACATGTTTCTATCTGTTTTGAAGTTTAATTTTTTTAAATTGACATAAAAGCAACATTATTAAAACATGTTTATTATGTTTTCAAAATTTTGAATCAGTAATCACTCTGTTAATTTCTAGTGTATTTTTTTACTGTGTATGGATTTTATATGTTTATCCAATGCTTAAACAACTATACATTGTTCAATAGTAATATGCTACACATAACCGCTACACTATTATAGGTTAGAAAGTTTTGCCCAAAACAAAAATAGTAATACTCCGTATGATACTTGACAGAAAAGAATTGTTCGTACCATGCAGGATATCCCAATACAATTTAATAATTTATACCTTATACGAAGTATATGAATTGTAATACATTCAACTTGGTTGTGGTTATGATTGATAGATGAAGTACAATAACCCTAAGAAAGGGAGTACAATGACAATAATGAACCAATAGTTTGTAACCCAGTCAGCATACAGCTTGAATGATCAATGTCTTTGTTTCCCCTTTAGATGAGAGAGTGCTTTTCATACATATATCTTAGGGAAGAAGAAAGATGCCACTAGTAGATCACATCATTCTCAGCCACTCTACCCTGTCTCTTCCATATTCTTCTTCATCTTGTATTGCAATGTTGCTGGTGCACAATCCAGTGGAGTCTCGCCTGAAAAACATATATTACAGCAATATAGATCGCATGAATCTGATTCTCCAGTGTTGTACATACACAGCACACAAGTTGTATCATAATTCAACCAGACCAGATATGCAACTGGATTCTGTGCTTGTCTGATCTGAGCCATGGGAACTATAGGTGGACACAGTCTGGGACCATCCAGTTTTTTAACCGGTACTGATAACCACGTATTTTCAGGTTTAGTTCCAGTTCCTCCAAAATAAGCATAGACCGGATGGTTACTTCACCATTTTTTAAATTATGCTAGAAAATGGGGTAGGAGCTGAACTGGATTGGGGGCCATCGATTCTAAATTTCTAACCAGACAGGTATTACCAGTTCCGGATAAGGTTCCTACCTTTGAGGAATCAAAACCAGCCCATGTCCACACGACCACACCTAATCATATCAGCACAGATCTCACAAGACAGATGATGATGGCCAAGATGCTTGAACTTGATCCAAGGGTCGTCCTTGGCCAAGCAGAGGATCAGAATTCAACCTGATTGTTTACCTTGTGGGTTTTTGTAATGCAAACTTGCACCGCTTTCCATGAGGGCAAAAGCTATTTCAGTTCGATTAAAAACAGCTGCCTACATAGTGCACAGTTCAGCATTTGTCATTTCTTGATCTTTCTAACAAAAAATGAATTACTGTTTCAACTGATAACAACAAAGTCATGGAGAAAGTGTGTACTAGATGTAACAAAGATGACCCTTGCTTGTCACGGTAATTTGCGTCCACTCCCTACATGGTTGAAATGAGATCAAATAATTAGGACAATTCACCATTAAGAGTGTTTTGGATTGAAGATTTTGGATAAGCCTTGGGGGGCTTAGTTTATATCTTGATAAATAGTTTTTTACGGAGTAATAAATAAAATATCAAAATGCCGTGTGACACATATTATGTTAATCTTTCAATTTCAATAAAATATCAAATATGTATCAAGATATTGAATAAGGTTTGCAAAGGCTAAGAGAATAAAGATAGAGGAGATAAAATACCTGATTTAAAAGTCTCTTAGCTGAGGCTGTGTCACCATTTTTTATTGCTTCCCTCATGCCCTAAACGACGGCTTAGTCTTAAAACACACCTCTGTAACTATAAAAATATAGCACCCTTGACTCAACATACTATGGAATTAAGGGTTATTGCTATACCTCCCCACTAACTTCATAATTCTTAAGAGTTTCTCCTGAACCAGCAGCACTTGTAACTTGGCCAAGGTTGAATAATCTGCTTTAAAAGCGACATAAAAAAAGCTTTCACTTGACAGGATATAGTTTACCTGTCAATAGTAATAAAAAGGGTCTGCAGCTGAAATGCTCCATACATTTTATCCAAGTAGGTAATTGACTATACTTCCCTAGCAGGCCCCATGTAGGGAAAAGTCATAGTTGGTTTGGTTTGGATGATTATTTTTCGCACTTAATGAAGAACAACCCTGGATCTTTGGGTTAGAAAGAAATTCAATTATATGTAGTTTAAACAACATACGAGAATGGAGAATTTAGCAGTCTCCTGCATAATGGGGAGAACCACTTAAAACCATTCATCACAATAGTGAAAAAAAATTAGGCACCACTGCTGGCATTTATTAAAAGTTTAAAACACCAGATATGGTGGACCATTAGATTGCCTAGTGGATACTGTAAACATATTACCTACCCTTGCTTATTATTCGATGATGATCCTCTGCTCTTTGGCACCGTGTTCACCTTTTTCGGCTTTGGATCCTCCTGAGCTATAGCCATGGAAGAAGTAGTTGTTGTTTTACTCTGCAGGAAGTAAAATAAAACTGCAAGGTCAAAAATAAGTTTATATGTTTAACTTTAAGATGCACTTTATGAACAAAATATCCTTTCTTGCAAGTTGACTGGATCATCTTGCACTTGTGCTTCACAAATGCATAAAGGCATTCCACATTTGCATTCTGATTTGCTTGACATAGATAATTGCTTTTCACATTGATCATTTTCAGTATCTGGAACTTGATCGACTTCTAATCTTGAAAATGAATCTGCAATATTACTGACTTCATCTGAAGAAGATGGTGCTCCAGTTCCCACAAATCTAATAAGGACGAGATTTACACATGAGCAGAGTGTGCAGGTAAGTATAAGAAACTTCGGACAAACAGGTGAGCATGAACAAGCATTTTTTTAAAACTCAACAAGACTATAATTGAAATATCATGTAGCGACCTATAAATTTACCAATTTAAACTCTGAAAAGATACAGAAAAATATGAAAGCTAAAAAGGGTCTGCCTTGAACTACGACAATGTCCAATTGTGTTTTCCCCATTTGGAAATATATTAACTTATTAAGTAGCTCATTGTGAAGGAGAATAAGTAAACCGAAAAAGACACAGTCAAGTTATGAAACAAACTCAGCAAAGAACCAATGCACTTGACCAATCATCAAGTCTAATTTGAAATCATTCTTTTGGCAGCTAAGCACCACCATATAGAGAACACAACATATTCCTTCATGCAGTTGAGATTTTCTTGTATGCCTTGAATCACAGGTTTGAGATCAAAGCGTATGGTACTGAATATGCTTAGCCCATTTTCCCCTAGATGGCATGCGTGTTTCTAATTACGAAGGTTGTGAATTTGTTGATTACTACTCTTTCAAATACTTCCTTATAGCAAAATCAAAATGTAAGCATGTAAAAGAAAGCGGGTAGAATAAGAAAGTGATTAGAAGAATATTAAGAATCAAATCGCAGAACACAATCTGATAGTGCACGACTGAATTTTACTAGGCATAGTTGTGGAAATATACCTAGGAGCATCATTAAAACAATCAGCACAAACTCTGACGGGTGAATGAATGCCAAACTGTGGTAAGGCCTGCAAATAATGAACATAAAAAAAATTGAGGTGTATAGAAATTTTACACTCGAACAAATCAGAATTCAGAACTTTCATAGTTTTACATTAGATACCATATGGCTTGCTGAGTGATCCGCACACAAAGTCCGCCCACAACATCTGCAATGGTGCTACATAAAAAGACCCCAGAGAAGGAAAGATACACTCAAGTAATTGCATACAATCGTGCAACATTAATAAGTAACGCTGGAAACATATTGATCGAAAAGGGTATTAAAACATTCAATTGTTGTAAAATAGAATTAGAACCAGAGCTATGTAAAGACATGGGCATGTACACACCCAATGCAAGTACAGTAGCATATGATGTTTCAAAGTATAAGAAAAGGAAATGCTATTTGACCATGTCAGACCTGAAATTTTGGAAATCAGAGAAGTAAACATATATTGCTTATCTCACGGAAAAAAGAACAGATTCTAAAACCTAAACGTTAAAAACTCTAGCTTGATGATTCGTACAAGGTTAACCCCTCTCGCACAGGATTGAAAATGTTGACAATTTCAGCTGCGAATTTACTAAGAAACAATTAACGAAGCAATTTAAGTCTCAACGCCTTGATAAACAGCTAAAAGCAGTTCCAATAGTACAAAATGCATATACAGTTCGGATGGAGAAGTAAATCCACTCCAGATCAGATGATCATAGGGAAATTTCACAAATAGGTTTGAAAGGGGAATCTGGTAAACAAGAACATATTGCATACCCGTCGTCGGAAGGCACTGAAGCTGCATTTACAGACGTCGCAGCGCGATGCTTCCTGAAAAGGTGGCGGTTCAGGCGACATTTTCCGACGTAAGGTAGCTTTCCCCTCTATCCTGTTATCCTCCTTTTTAGGTTCATTTTCCACCCTCCTGTTTTGTATTCGGGGTTATGTTTAAAATAATACTAAAAAAAGAGACTAAAAATGGGTTAAAAGACTATTATATCCTTATTTTAATAGAATCTCACCCATTAGTCTACAATAACGTCACAGTGACCAAAACCATTACCGTGACCAAAATTCGTCACTGACCAAAAATCATTTGTGACCAAAAATCCAAAAATCCGTTCGTGACCAAAATCATTAGTGACAAAAAATTCTACCTAGTTACCAACGTCAACCCGTCCAATGACCAATCTGACTAGTGACCATGACCAATCCACCCAGTGACCAAAAATCATTTGTGACCAAAATTCCAAAAATCCGTCAGTGACCAAAATCATTAGTGACCAAAATTTTTACCTAGTTACCAACGTCAACCCGTCCAGTGACCAATCTGACTAGTGACCATGATCAATCCACCCAGTGACCAAAAATCATTTGTGACAAAAAATCCAAAAATCCGTCAGTGACCAAAATCATTAGTGACCAAAAATCATTTATGACCAAAAATCCAAAAATCCGTCAGTGACCAAAATCCGACTAGTGACCATGACCAATCCACCTAGTGACCATGACCAATTCACCTAATGACCCAGTGACCAACCCGATCACTGACTGTGACCAACCGATCAATGACCAACCCGATTAACGTTCGTGACAAATCCGACCAGTGACCAATCCAACTAGTGACCAACCCAATTAATGACCATGACCAATTCAATCATTGAACAATGCGGCCACCACCGCCCCGACCCCACTGCCCCGACCACCACCATCACCAACCACCACCGCCCCGACCACTGCCGAGCCCGATGATAGCCAGCCTTCTCCCCTGCCCCACCCCCTCCATTGCCCCAGCCCCCCTCCCCAGCACCAGCCCCTCCCCAGTACAAGCCCCCTCCTCTGCCCCGGGTCCCTCCCCTACACCAGCCCCCCTCCCTTATACCACCCCCTCCCTGCCTCAGCCCCAGTCCCCAGGCCCCAACACTTCTCTAATGGCGCCAATCGAAATGCTCTAGACCTTGTGATGAAGAAGATGACTGATCTTTGCTATTCCAGAAAAGAAACAAGGAGAAGATGATAGATCTGCAGTTTCTCGGCGTCGGAGATGGCGCAATTGCTCGGCGACGGTGATGACGCAGTTGCTCGGTGACAGAGACGGCACTCACGGCACAGATGTTCGTCGATGGCGACAGCAACCTGAAATGGGCGGCGGAGAAAAGATAAGATGCGACGGAGTTGATATGGTGGAGATGAGATGGGATGCGTTGGAGAACGGAGTATGTGCATATGCGCTCCAGATGCACGATGCGGAAGAAGGAAGCATGCCAATCCAGATGCGAGACGCGAGATTGGTCCTCTTTTTGTCCTTAAAAAAAGTGGTCCTCCTTTTGTCAAGTGTAAAGTCCGTAATCCTATTTTTGCCATTTTTTCTTTGTATTTTTGACATTTTTTTTCCTAAAACAATGTTAAGTAAATAATTATGGAAAACAGTCAAATTGGCCCTCGTAGTTACTAAAACAATCAATTAAGTTCTCCAACAAAAGAAACTCAATTATGACCTTCAACTTTACAAAAACGTTAAATCTTTATTTTAACGGGTAAACTCCAGGTTAATCGGTCATTGTGCTTACATGGCAGACTATGTGTCATTTCTATCTTTTTTTCATTTTCTTCCCTTTCCATCTTCTTCCTTGTTTTCTACCAAGAGAATGAATGATTTGGATTCGTTTCAAGTCAACAATTGGGACTTTCAAAATTTTGATTGCTTCATAGATCTCATGGATCTAACAAAGCACAAAATCATTGGGACGAGGAGAAGTTCAAAGGACATCATTAACGGTTGTTGGTGACTTGCTCAGAAGTGAGAAGAAGATGCGAATCCTCGTTATTACGGCTGCCTTTGCCCTTGCCCTAGTTGGCGTTGCTTAGATTGTGTAGATTCGAAGGAGAAGAAATCTACAGTATAGTCAGAACTCAGAAAGCTTCTCCGGCCGACGTCTTTCCATTTTAGACTGATTGGGTCGAGCAAAAGTTCCTCAATTTAGAAGCTTCTTCGGCGTCTTTACACGATGTGGTGATGGGTGGTGTTCTTCTGTTGAGCTTGTTTGGAAGGAAATGTGCAAGCAATGAAATCTTTGTTTGGGGATGAAATATGCAAGCAGAAGCTTATTTGGAAGGAAATCTCCATTATGAACTAAACAGACTCAAGCTTGTATGGAAGGAAATGTGCAGACAGAACTGTCACAGAAGACAGCTAAGGAGAAGGAAATAGGCAGGGGAAGAAAATAAATGGATGATGAAGAAGGTGGCCTGTAGCAGGGCCTAAGGGAAAAAATGAAAAAGATAAGCCAAAGGCCACCTGGATCACCAAGTTAGAAGAATAACCGGTTAACCGGCAATAATAGGTTAAATTAAAGATTTAAACATTTTTCTAAAATTGAAGGTCATAATTGATCGTTTATTTAGTTCGGTGGCTTAATTGACTATTTTGATATAGTGTGAGGGTATATTAGTTTTCCCAAAAATTATTTATCAAATAAGGGTAAGGTTAAAAAAATTACAAAATAATAACGAGTTGACAATTGGGGCGTTTAGTAGGATGTAGAATAATTACATTGTTTTATTTGATTATTTAACGTGCACAAAAATGTGACTATAAGTTAATATTTGTAAATTTTATAGTCACTATGATGTAAACTAGAATACAATTATAGTCACTAAAAGTTACTTAGTCACATTTTTGTCACACTATTTGGATTTTTATTTTTATTTTAATCTTATTTATTTAAGGAATTTTCTTGTCATGTTTGAGAGTTTTTTTTAAATAGTGTTAAATAAAAGAATATGTATCAAATTATCTTGTTATGAAATTTGATATATTAATTGTTACAATTAAAGAATTAAAGTACAAATAAACAAATTGTAACACTAAAAAAATTTCATCAAAAATTCCACCAGGAACCGCCCCAAATGGCGACGGACGGACAGAGTCTCCTATATAAGGGGGTGAACTTGTAACACCGTCCCCAAATGTATTTAATTTTAAGTGAATAATGTATTGAACCTTATGGAATGGTTAATGAGTATACGAAGTTGTGAATTTTTATTAATTCTTTTGCGTGAATAGTAAATTCGCACGTGGGACCCACACCGGGAGCGGGGCCGCCCGATATTCTCGAGACCGTATATTTTATTCAACTTGGTCAAAATAATATTTATATAGAGGTGGATAATTTATTTGGTCCAAAGAAATGGCATAATGTGGACCGATTGGTCAAAAGCGGCTCAATTACCGGTATTGGTAATTTAAAGGATAACAGTCCGAAATTGGATTTCGGATACCTATAAATTAAAGTTGGGGAATGTATATTCACTATAAGGGTCATGATGATTGAGACCACATAATATATTTTATTGACCCGATAAAATAAAATATAATTAAAATAGTCCGAAAATACAACTTTCGGGACCGATTGTACACTTCTGGACAAAAAGGGTTGACCTCCCACATGGGTGGGGGCCAACCCACGAATTTAGCCACACAAATTGAGGTATGGGGCGGCTGAAATGAGAGGAGGAAGATGGGTAGAGGTTGGGTTGACTTGAGAGGCATCTAAAGGACAAAGGTGGGTCTCTCAACCCACACATAATTGCCTATTGAGACAAAAAGCCAACCCCAACCCCCTCTCTCCCCTATTTTCGTCCACACCACCCCAACCAAGAGCAAGGAAGAAACTCCAGCCACCTCTCACCATTGTTGAAGGAAGCTCCATCAAGAAGGAAGCTCCAGGAAAGAGTTTAAGTTCTAAAAGTGTACAAAACGTGAGGAAAAGCTAGGTAATGACTTCATTTACCTTTCTCTTCTCTTTTTCTTGAATATATTATTATTTGAGAAATTATGAAGAACCCTAGAGTTGTTCTACATGTTGATAAATGTGGAACAAGGGATTGGAAGGTGGTTCTATGTCCAAAAGCAGACTTAGAAGCCAAACCGACAAGTTCACCGGAAAATAACCTTTTAGAGGTTATTTGTATTGATTAAGGTTTTATGATGTTAAAACCTTGTTAGGAACTTGATTAAAGTATTTTTGAGTTTCGCCGGAGTTTTGCCGGAGTTGGTCAAAGTTCACCGGAGTTGGTCAAAGTTCGCCGGAATTGGTCAAAGTTCAATTGGGGAGCGTAGAACGCACTTAAGCTCACTTAAGGTGAGGATAACCGACTATATTGCTTATAATTATTGGGTTAATTTCATGAGATTACCTAATGAATTAAATGTGTATGGCATGGTTCATAAATGATAAAAAGCGCCTAAATGAAATTAATATTGGTTATAAGTAAATATGCATAATATACAAATTTATGAATAAATTGTGTATGATTATGTGTTATGAATGAAATGGCATGATAGTTGTATTAAACATGAATGTTCATTGTGATAAATATACTTTTACCTCATGTAAAGAAGTCATGGAAGGATAAACGTGATATTTTGATATTAGAACCAAATTATACTTAAATGTGGAATTAAATTGAAATATACGAACTATTATGAATTTGCATTGATTATAATAAGATTAAACGTCTAGTATAGAAATACTAGTCGGAAATGTTAGTTCAATAGTTCTTTGGAGCTAATCCCAAGATATTGGAGCCAAGTAACCTCAACGGATATATTTAAGGTGGACTTTATGAACTCAAGTTACATTAGGAGTAGGCCTTAAGGGTTACTCAAAATGGATGGAGCCTAGACTAAGAAATTGTTTAGGATTAGATGACGTGACTATGAGCCGAGCTCTAGCACGTGGAAGTATGACTATGAGCCGAGCTTTAGCAAATGTAGTATGACTATGAGCAGGGCCGGTCCTGTATCCAATTTTGGGCCTATGGGCGATATGATATTTCGGCCTTATTTCCAAGAGAAACGGTAAATTATACTTTAAAGTAAAAATTACGGAGTAAAATAAAATTAGGACAAATTACTCTAAATATGACTAAAAACGTTTGTATATTCCAAACTAAGATTATCA